GTCACTAAGAGGGATCAGTTTCTCATGAAATTACGAAGTGAGTTTGAACCCATTCGTTCTAGTCTTATGCATCGCGAATCACTTCCAACTTTGGATTGCTGCTTGGGTGACTTATTAAGAGAGGAACAACGTCTTATCACTCGATCCTCGTTGGAGCAACATCATCATCAAGCAACAATTCCTGGTGCCTATGCTGCTCAAGGAAAATTCAAGAATCGAGATATATTTGGTGTTCAGTGTTATAGCTGTAAGAGGTTTGGTCATATGGCTCTTCAATGTCCAAGAAAAATGTGTCATTACTGCAAGAAGTCTGGTCATGTCATTAAAGAGTGCCCTATCCGTCCTCCACGCAAAATCGGGCCTGATTATGTTGTTGCGGCTACTTTAGCATCAAGTTCTGCTTCATCTGTTGCTCCCACTCAAGTTCCAGCCTCTCACGGTTCTACCCAACCTTCCATTACTCCTGAAATGATCCAAAACATGGTTATTTCTGCTTTGCCAGTATTAGGTGTCTCAGGTAAATCATCAAATACTTCTTCTTGGTTACTAGATTCGGGTGCTTCTTATCATATGACTCATGATACTAAATTACTTAGTAACATTAGACCATATACCGGACCCCTCCATATACACACTGCCGATGGTAACCCTCTTCCTATTTCGGCTGTCGATGACGTATCACCAGAGCTATCTAATGTTTTACTTTCTCCTCGTTTATCAACTAATCTTATCTCTGTTGGTCAACTTGTTGATAACAATTGCACCGTGTCTTTTTCTTCTTCTGGTTGTCTTGTGCAGGATCAGGTGTCCGGGAGGACGATCATGAGGGGGCCTAAGGATGGACGTCTCTTTCCTATTTTACTGAAGCATGTTCCATTTTTTCCTATTGTTTGTAATTTTCCTACTTTCGATATTTTTCATTGGCATAAGTTATTAAGGCATCCAAACTCTAATGTATTGCATAAGTTGTTAAACCCTGGTTTACTTGGTAATAAAAATTCTGCTTCGGTTTCTTCTTTATCCCTTGACTATGCATCCTGTAAACTTGCTAAGAGCAAAGTTTTACCGTTTCCTTCCTTTGATTCTCGTACTTCGCATATTTTTGATATTGTTCATAGTGATGTACGGGGTTTGGCACCTGTTGTGTCTCATGCGCATTATAAATATTTTGTTACATTTATTGATGACTATAGTCGCTTCACGTGGGTTTACTTTCCAGTCTTTCACTGCTTTCATTAACAATCAATTTTCCTCTTCTATTAAGATTTTACGATCTGATTTTGGAGGCGAATTTACGTCAAATGCGGTTCAATCTTATTTACAGAGTAAAGGGATAGTTTCTCAGCGCTCTTACCCCTCTACCCCTCAACAAAACGGGGTGGCAGAACGCAAGAATCGTCATCTTCTTGACATGGTTAGAACTCTTCTGATCGAGTCATCTGTTCATTCTCTTTTTGGAGTGAAGCGTTGTCTACTGCTGTTCATCTCATAAATTGATTACCTTCTCCCACTATTGATAATGTTTCCCCATTTTATAAGCTCTTTGGTCATCATCCCACGTACTCTCATCTTCGTCCGTTTGGCTGTGTTTGTTTTATTCATTTACCACCACATGAACGGACAAAACTTACACCTCAATCTGTCAAGTGTGCATTTCTGGGATATGGTGGGAGTAAAAAAGGATGTCTGTTATGACCTTAAAGCACATCGGATTAGGATTTCTCGTAATGTCATTTTTTTGAAAAACAATCTTTCTTCACTTCGGAAATTGCTCTCTCCCCATGTGTTCTCTATATTGCCTAATTTTCCTACAGAATTCTCTCGATACAAGCCTGGTCTCGTTTACTCTCGCAGGCATACCGCACCAGTCCCAGCTTCCGGGCTCCTTCTCAGCCATCTGTTTCCTTGCGCCCCCCCTAATCCTCCATCTCCGACATCAGATTCTTCACCAGATGATCACCTGCCTCCTGTCACTCTTCGTCGCACCTCGCGTGTTCCTCGACCTCCCGATAGGTATGGTTTTTCTTCCCATAGCTCTATGTCTGCTACTCTTGATTCGATTTCCATCCCTACATCTTATAGACAGGCTATGGAACAAGAGTGTTGGCAACAGGCGATGACTACAGGACTTGAGGCTCTTGAAGCCAATCAAACTTGGGATATTGTACCATGTTCGCCAACTGTGAAACCAATTGCGAGTAAATGGGTATATTCGATTAAGCTTCGCTCTAATGGTTCTTTTGAACGCTATAAGGCTCGGTTAGTTGCCTTAGGTAATCGTCAAGAGTATGGAATCGACTATGATGACACATTTGTTCCCGTGGCTAAAATGACCACCATTTGCCTCTTGTTATATCTTGCTGCTTCTCAATCTTGGTCTCTTCATCAAATGGATGTTAAGAATGCGTTTTTACATGGAGACTTCAAGGAAAACATTTACATGAAACTTCCTTCTGGTATGTCACTTTCCTCTGATGACTCTGTCTGTAAGCTAAAACGCTCTTTGTATGGTCTTAAGCAGGCACCGCGGGCTTGATTAGATAAGTTTTGTCACACTCTTTTGGATTTCTCCTTTACTCAGAGTCAGGACGACGCATCTCTGTTATTTCACAAAAGTACTGCTGGTATCGTTTTGTTGTGGTGTATGTGGATGATATTATTATTTCTGGATCTGACCACAATCTTATTCAGAAGCTTCAGCGGCATCTTCACTCCGTTTTTCATATGAAAGATCTTGGTCAACTTACTTCCTTGGGTTGGAGGTTCATACTACGTCGCATGGTATCTTCTTGAATCAACTTAAGTATATTCAAGACTTGATTCGGTTGGGTGATTTGTCTGAAGCCTCCTCGGTTGATACACCTTTGGAACTTAATGTTAAATATCGAAAAGGTGAAGGAGATATTCTTCCTGATTCGACTCTTTATCGGAAGTTGGTAGGTAGTCTCATATATCTTACCATCACACGTCCGGATATTTCTTTTGCTGTGCATACTGTAAGCAAGTTTATGGACGCTCCTCGTCACCTTCATTTGGTAGCTGTTCGTCGCATTATTCGCTACCTTATTGGGACTCCTCATCGTGGACTCTTCTTCCCTCGAGGGTCGTCTCTTGAGCTCATGGCCTACAGTGATGCTGACTGGGCAGGTTGTCTAGATTCTCGTCGATCTACTATTGGGTGGTGTGTCTTTCTGGGTGATGCTCTCATTTCTTGAAAATGTAAGAAACAGGACTCTGTGTCTTAATCCTCCACTGAGGCTGAATATCGAGCTATGTCCGCTGCATGTTCTGAGGTTGTGTGGTCTCCTTGCAGAAATTGGTTTCTCTCAATCACAGCCCACGCCCCTTCATGGCGACAATACTAGTGTCATTCAGATTGCAGCCAATCCTGTGAACCACGAACGCACCAAACATATTGAAGTGGATTGTCATTATATTCGGGACGCCTATGACTCCAAGATCATAGTTCTTCCCCATGTTTCCACTACTCACCAAGTTGCAGATATCTTCACCAAATCTCTGACCCGCCACCGTCATAATTATCTAGTCAGCAAATTGATGCTTGTGGACTCCCCAACATCAATTTGAGGGGGGGTATTAGAATATTAATTAATTAGCTAATTAGGTGATTACCATGTAAATAATAGCTAGTTTCCATGTATAGGGTTTCCTAAAATATGTTGTAATGTTCCTATAAAAAGAGAAGAAGTCGGACAAGAAATTCATTCCGCAAATTATTGTCAGTGAATGAGATCAAAGAGGGAAAAGGAGAGAAGAAAATGAAGTGGAGGGGAAAAAATGCTTTATTTAGCAGTGTTTTTCTGGTTAAGATTTATTTCCGTTTCCAATAGCTGTAGTTTAGGACTTATGTCTGCTTCCAAAGCTTTGCATTTCCTTCCTTTTGTTATTATTAATAAATACTCTGCCCACATAGTTTAAAAAGAAAAAAGAAAAGAAAAGAAGAGGAAAAGAATTCTCTTCACTAAAAGATTAGCTCATTCCATAGTTTTTACTTTTAATCCTATTGAGAAAAAAGGGTTGGACTAGGACTCCAAGAGGGAGTTAGGTAAACAGAATTTTAATATCAATGAGTATTTTATCACACCCAAGTTTTTATTGAAACTCAATAGCATAATTGACAGACCATTATTAATACCATTGCCATTGAAATACTGATGTGTTCCACATGCGTCTGTTATTCGCATTCTAGTCTCTTATTATCTATATTCATATGAATAAAATAATTTTAGCAGTCTATTTGTCAAATAACTAAATATAAATTTATCCTGAATATGATTACTCTTGATAAATATTCCCCTGACAAATTTCTTATTTTGGTTTTGGTTTGTTTACATGTTATCCACCTTGTAAGAAGGTAAAACATGTCCACTGTTTATGTCTATTTTTTCCCAAAAGAATAAATGATTTTGAATTTTAAAATATTTGGAGGTATTCAGAATACCTGATTCAAGTAGGCAAAGACGTGATAAATACAAAATAATATTGTTTACAGGTCAATTCTTTTTCTTGAAAAAAAAAATGGAAAGGCAAAAATGGGTGTGTTAATTTATACCATGATGTTCTGGGTCAAGTTTAAGTTCAGTTTATCTCCTCGATTTTGCCAGCATTGCATATGGAATCCTGTAGTCTACGTTCACGATTTTCAACTTGACTCAACCTTCTTAGTTTATTTATGTTAGCAGGGATCTGAATGTACCTGTACCTGTAATATTAGTCCACAGGTGTTTCTTTTATTTGGTGTTGAAATCTGGGGATATATCAGAAGCTTTTGAATCTCATAATCTGAGTATGCCACAAATCATTTTCATTTGGAGTTATCCATTTCCATGCAATGTCTTCAAAGTGTGCCACCATATATTTATTTTAAGTTTGCCCTGGTGGAGTTTTTTTTTTTAACAAGAAGCTGTTATATACTCTTAATGGAGCAGGCCATACTTTTTTTTAGTTTTCCAGTGTTGATTGTTTTATACAGTGCAGCCATGAAGCCAGGAACATCAAAGTTAAATCCCAATGCAACATCATACATACCATTCTCTCAAAGGGGGGCAGCTGATAAAGGAGAAAATTTTGAATTTTCTGCAAAAGAATCAAATTGTAGAAATGAAGCTGTCTGGTTCGGAGATCAATCAGAGGATGCATTAACACATTGTCAGCCACAAAATGTTTCTCAAAGCTATATCCAATGCACTGATATTCTCCAAACTGCTGAGCTTTCTAAACTGAAGGACCATTGTGGTGGTGAACTCTATGCTTCATCATCACATAACCAAAATATGATGGCTGAAAAGTTTACACTTGAGGAAGAATTTGACATGGATTTAACATATCTTCAGATGACATTTCCTGGAATATCTAAGGATTCCCTTTCTGAAGTCTATTTAACAAGTAACTGTGATGTGGAGTCTGCAGTTGACATGCTGAATCAACTTGAGGTAAATTTTCTTTGCAATCAAAATTTTGACTAATCAAGAGTAGGATGACTTAGCTAGTTGAGATGCATCTGAGTAGGCCTAAAGAAGCTCCTGTTCAAAAGAGATGCAGTCCCTAACAACTTGAGTTGTTGTGGTTCTAAGAATCTACTTACTTTAGATTTTCCTAGTGTTGAAAAAGAATTCATGTAGCCAATCCCATGTTTATAAGGTATAGGTTGTTCACTTGTTTATTTGCATTCCAATTTTAGATGTTCTCACTTGGTCTTTTTTTCTGCTTTTGCAAGGGCATTCACCCTTTTGAATTGTTTGTTCAACTTTCATGCTACGTGTGGTTGATGGCGTTCTGTTACTACTGCTATCTCTAATTGATGTTTATGAACTAGGTTGCTTTAATTTTTTATTTTTTTTATTATTATTATAATTTGGTCTGTTTAGTTTATTGTAAATGTAGATTGAAGCTGTGCTCTTTATCTTTGGTTAAGGTATTAGGGAGATGACAATGCCATAGAGATCGAAGTAAAAAGAGAATGTCATTTGGTGATCATAATGATTCATGAGGTTCTTAAGACTGAAAAGAAGGCTGTAGTGATGAAGTATCAGAAGAGGGAAGAAGAAAACTAAGAGAGAAAGTTAGGCCTCATTCCTATTATATGATGCTTCACACTTTATAAAAACATATATCAGACAAAGTAATACTTCAGTCATTCGAAGGATAGGTTAGGAAAGCAAGTTATATCTTACCGAAAATACACACGTTTATGAAGCTATTAAGCATATTTCTAATGTAATCTGATATTCAGATTCCAGGTCTCAAACGAACTGATAATGTGTTTAATTTTTGTCTAAAAATCCATTCTTGGTAAACTTGAGTGGAAGTGGAAGATCTTAGACTAATTATTTCTAGCAAATAAAATTGAGAACAAACTTTTTTTGGGGGGGGGGGGGGGGGGGGGGGGGG